TAAAACAGACATATCATTGATTGTGATTTAAAACAAACATATCATTGACTGTGATTTAAAACAGACATATCATTGATTGTGATTTAAAACAAACTGCCTATCACTAGTCTTAGGAATCATTTACTTTATAGACCAAATTGTCTGTAAAACAGATTTATTTCTTTAATTAATAAAGATAAAGGATGGACACGGTTTACTCGCTCGAGTTCGGTTCGATGAAATGTATGCTAACAATTCTTAACTCCACAGAGCAATGTGCACCATCAGCGCCACACTATCATCAATTCTACCTACAGGTCAAACATATCACTACACCGTGACCCTAGAATTCCACAGGGACAACGGACGGGCAAGGATTTGGAGATATCTAACAATACTTGTGATTGGCTTGCAGATCTGAGACAATGGCAGTGATTGGCTATCAGGTAGGTAAACACGGTAGTGATAAGCTACCTGGACAGGTACGGTGTTCGGCAAGCAGCTTAGCAGATAGAGCAATGTTTGTAGATAAGGAGTATAAGTAGAACGGTTTAGTGTTACCTGGCAGGGCCTGGCTAACGATAGCCAGGTGAAAATCACACAGGTACGCATTGTCTGCGATAACATGCAAATAAACAGGCAGCAAGCAAATCAACGACAAACGAACGTTTAAATGACTCGGAAACGATATACTCAAATAAACGACAACAAAACTAGCATAAGACAAGGGAAAGTTTAAATGGCGGAATCAGAGTAAATAGATGGAGGCTGGTACCCTGCGACAAATCTACGACAAACGAATGTTTAAACGCTTGGTAGGTAGGAGAGTCAACAGAACGAGGGCTGGTAACAAAGGGCTTACGTAGGACGGGTAGGGGGAAACCCTCCTCGCACATATCCAGGCAGATACCAGGGCAAAACTGTCCAAACCTGACAGGCTATTTTAAGGAGTCGTTAATTGCAAAAATATTGTGTGATTTTAACTCATTCAACCCTCATTAGGTGTCAATTTCTAATCATAAGGTAACATTTGAGTCCAAGTGTTCTGTGTTTTACCTCCAACAAAGAAGAGTTCAATTCAGTGAAGCATTTTCCTGATTTATTTTAGTTGTTTGTCAATCTACCACAGCAAAGACTAAAGATATCTATTGATAATTTCCCTTCATGAAAGTATTTTCAGGTAAAAGGAATTGCTCAGAGGACTTAATTATTCATTAATGATTATAAAGCAGGGAACTTTTCCACTACATCATTTCATTTTTATGCTAGTACTTTTCTGCAACAGTAACGGAAATAATTTCAAACTTTTTTGAATCCCCTAAAAACACCTGCAATTCCCCCCCCCCCCCTTTTTACATTANATTAATTATAATACAGTTACAATGTATACATAACACCTGCAACTTCACGTCTAAAAATAATTTGAAATATCATACCACTATCCAGACACAAACAATATATTTATCTTGGCCTAACTAATGTCATACTTTGTGTATTATAGCTACAGCCATATCGACCACCACTTCTACCATCCAGACAAAAACAATTCGCCCACCACTATCCAGACACAAACTATTGATTTATCTTGGCCTAACTAATGTCATACTTTGTGTATTATAGCAATAGCCATATCAACCACCACTTCTAACCATCCAGACAAAAACAATTCTACCACCACTATCCAGACACAAACTATTGATTTATCTTGGCCTAACTTATGTCATACTTTGTGTATTGTAGCTATAGCCATATCGACCACCACTTCTAACCATCCAGACACAAACTATTGATTTATCTTAGCCTAACTTATGTCATACTTTGTGTATTATAGCTATAGCCATATCAACCACCACTTCTAACCATCCAGACACAAACTATTGATTTATCGTGGCCTAACTTATGTCATACTTTGTGTATTATAGCTATAGCCTTATAGACCACCACCATCCAGACACAAACTATTGATTTATCGTGGCCTAACTTATGTCATACTTTGTGTATTATAGCTATAGACACATCGACCACCACTATCCAGACACGAAACAACTTACTTATCTTGGCCTAACTTATTTCATACTTTGTGTATTATAGCTATAGCCACATCGACCACCACTATCCAGACACGAAACAATTTACTTATCTTGGCCTAACTTATTTCATACTTTGTGTATTATAGCTATAGCCATATCGACCCCCACCATCCAGACACAAACTATTGATTTATCTTTGCCTAACTAATGTCATACTTTGTGTATTGTAGCTATAGCCATATCGACCACCACTCCTAACCATCCAGACACAAACTATTGATTTATCTTTGCCTAACTAATGTCATACTTTGTGTATTGTAGCTATAGCCATATCCACCACCCCTCCTAACCATCCAGACACAAACTATTGATTTATCTTGGCCTAACTTATGTCATACTTTGTGTATTATAGCTATAGCCTTATTGACCACCACCATCCAGACACAAACTATTGATTTATCTTGGCCTAACTTATGTCATACTTTGTGTATTATAGCTATAGCCACATCGACCACCACTATCCAGACACGAAACAATTTACTTATCTTGGCCTAACTTATTTCATACTTTGTGTATTATAGCTATAGCCATACCGACCACCACTATTCAGACACAAACAATTTATTTATCTTGGCCTAACTTATGTCATCCTTTGTGTATTATAGCTATAGCCCCATCGACCACCACTATCCAGACACAAACTATTGATTTATCTTTGCCTAACTAATGTCATACTTTGTGTATTATAGCTATAGCCTTATTGACCACCACCATCCAGACACAAACTATTGATTTATCTTGGCCTAACTTATATCATCCTTTGTGTATTATAGCTATAGCCACATTGACCACCACTATCCAGACACGAAACAACTTACTTATCTTGGCCTAACTTATTTCATACTTTGTGTATTATAGCTATAGCCATATCGACCACCACTATTCAGACACAAACAGTATATTTATCTTGGCCTAACTTATGTCATACTTTGTGTATTATAGCTATAACCATACCGACCACCACTATCCAGACACAAACTATTGATTTATCTTGGCCTAACTTATGTCATACTGTGTGTATTATAGCTATAGCCTTATTGACCACCACCATCCAGACACAAACTATTGATTTATCTTGGCCTAACTAATGTCATACTTTGTGTATTATAGCTATAGCCATATCGACCACCACTATTCAGACACAAACAATATATTTATCTTGGCCTAACTTATTTCATACTTTGTGTATTAGCTACAGTGCACAGAAATGCACCATATCTAATAATCATGAACGTTGGAAAAAGCTGAAATGGCTTTACTAAACCATAATATAGGTTAAGCTGGATTGTCTATAGAATTCTGTCGGTACAGTCAGACTAGATCTGAACCTACAGACAGAAACCATTCAGCATGTTACTGCATGTTTATAAGCTTGATAATCTTCAGGCTTTGTGTGCCGGTATAATATGCACACATTTTTCAAAATTACCCTAACAGTTTAATTGGATAATCTCTTCGCATTATTTGTGAACAGACAGTCAAAATTTTGTATAGAATGGAAATTACTATTTGGAATGAAAAGGACAAAAAAAAAGTTTATGATATGTTTTTCAATTTCCCTACCTACAGTTTTTTCCCCCCCAAAGCTTTACTTTTATATATATTGCCTATAAATAAGGTCTTTTCGGTTGTGTAGTCGGGGGGCACAGTGGACAGCACACTCGGCTTGTATGAAGACGGCGGAGGTCCAACTCTTTGATCAGACTTGAACAGTATTGGGTCACTTGCCCGATCACATGGGTTTTCTCTGGGTACTCCAGTTTCCTCCAATATTAATAACCCTGCAGGCACAATCCCATCCGGGCCACCACGAGTGATAAATATACTCTTGTTTCCGCTATAACCCTACCTGCCGTAGATTTTTGTGCCTACCCTGAAGTTTTATTGGTATTTAGTGATATATGTATGCATTGTTAAAGTCAGAACTCCTGCTCTATAAAAGCAAAAATATTTTCCAAAATAAAACTACCAACCTACCCTATTTTTTCTGAGGATGATAGCGGAAACACAAGTAATTTTATTTTTGGCCTAAGAAGTTTGAACCATCAAGACCAGTTACTACAGATCCAATATATTTAATATCTTCGTATCTTGACCTTTCCTGACCCTCTCCACTGTTTCTATAGAAACGGGGACCAGGCCACAATGTGTGGTACATCTTCTAATTCCTATAATCTACAGAACAAGAATCAACAATAAAAATGTACATTTTTTACGACAATTGAAAAGCTTATATACAATGCTGTTGCTCAGCACAAAATAGAACTTGCCGGTTGCCAGGATACCAGAAATTTCGGGGATTAGATCATCTATAAATCAAGTCCTTACAAACCACTTCACACCTAGGAAATAAAACGTGAATCAAAGTAAGATTTGGATATTCCTGGTGTAGTTGTACGTTCTTTAAATTTGTTACCTGATAAATCATACAGATAAATCTGTCTGTACACATCGTTACAAACGGTGGTCTACAACAGATGTGTTACATAACCAAAAGAATTTTTTACTTTTTTTTGAAAATGGCAAAAAACAATTCTGGAAATACCTTTACTCATTCAGCCCTGAAATTTCATAATGAACTATTCCAACCTTTGAATTGGAAGAGTTAAAATGTGTCTTCAGGGGTGAATGAGTTAAAACTAAATAATGAACTAAATTTAAGTTTACTCATCATTGTTAGTATTGTTTTACTATAGAATATTCAGAACTCCTTTTTAATATAGAAACGTTGGACATTTTAGTAATGTTACTTTCAATATATACTACAGTATGTTTTGTTTCATCCTGGATACTCCTGGGCTTACACTCGCTAACGATCGTTGTACTCCTGGAATATGTACTGGCAAAATCGAATGATGAGAAATTTGTCCAATAAACTCTCAACAATATGTTAGTAGAATAAGAACAAGTTGTTAAATTGACAAAACTTACCATTGCTAAGTGAATTTCAGGACAATTTGAGACATCATTGATGATCAGATGTACTTCAGTTTATGTCCAGGTGTGGGTGTATCTTACAACTGGACAGTAGGCCTGGGGTTTTTGGTTTTGGTACTGGTCTAGTCAACAGATTTCCTGTAATTTTGAAGTATATATTAATACACTAAGTATAGTGCACTATACTATCGTTCATTTCAGTGTGTCATCTGTGCTAATATTAACTCATTCACCCTGAAATTTCATGATGAACTATTCCAACCTTTGAACTGAAGGAGTTCAAATGTGTCTTCAGGGGTAAATAAGTTAATTAGTGGTGTCACAATACGACGTCTACTTAAGGAACCCTGTCCCACTAAACTGTGGAGTCACAATACGATGTCTACTTAAGGAACGCTGTCCCACTAAACTGTGGATTTTTTTACATACAGTAATTAACCTCCCCTTAATATTGTTTTGGATATAACTGTTAACTGTAGCACAGTTGGGCAAGAAGACTTCCATTGACTACAAACGTTGCTCAGTCTGTTAAGAGCGACAGTATAACAATCTGAAATCCAGGGTTTGAATCCCGGTCCAGCCCCTTTGAATTTTTTTACACTCGAGAGTCGGGACATGTGCATCAATCATCTTTTTCTCAGAGCTGACAGCCGATATGTACATACGTTTGTGATTTTTTCCAAAATGAAATCAGGGGAGTTTCTCCCAATTCACCCAGAAATAGCTCTTAATGAACATTTTTCTAGTTTGGCTCATGGGCGAATTTTCACACACTGGGACTGTTACAATCAAATTTCCAAGATGGCTGTCAACCTAGTAAAGCATTCCGAGTTACAAATGATTTCGGTGCACGGTGTAAGTTATACCGGAGCATTAATACAAAGTACATTTGTTGATGTATGTATATAGTACACCAATTTATCCCGGTCTCCTGTTAAATGCTACGCAGTGACCGCATGATCCAATCTCAAACTGTTCACATTCAACTACAAATAAATATTCAATTTGTTATCAATTTGTCGGGTAACACAATTTAAAACCTGGTGTTGTATTCTTCGAGGTTGTGAAATTGAAAGTGAATTCTAAGCGACCGTATTGGAAATGTCAAACTTGCAATAGCTTAAACTGCCCCAAAAAAGGTTTCTCTAAAGATTTTAAAAGTCAAATAAAAACTGATGTTGACACATGCATTCAGTGTCGAGTCCCTTCAAAATGATGTTAAGATTCCATCTCCTATGAACAATTTCCCTGACATTTCTCTGTGGTATTTAACTGCTCTTCAAATGTGTACTGTAAGTTAGGATCTAATAGCGAGTAATACAGACGGTTTAATCGGTTGTTGAAAGTCGGCATAACATCGGTTTGATCTTGTCAAAATATTCATAACCATGTTTTTTTCCAGGATTTCTGAACATTTTACGCTATTCACAAGTCACAAGAAAATATACCATGAGTTTGGAATATATTAAATTTTTGTCATATTGGGAAAACAAGACACGTTTTAGCTTGGGGAAACAGCCTGTATTCAGCTAGCGCTGTAAAACTGAGCAAAAAAAACATCAGTTTAGGGTACATGGTAAGAAAATTTAAGGTAAAATGTACCTGGTATATTCAACAGATATTTTTTTTCTTTCAATAAATCGTCATTAAAGGCTAAATCAAATTGGTTTTAATTTTTGTCACCGACTCATTCTCACAAATGGCTTTTCAATACTTGAAAACGAGACACTTATTTCATATTTAATGAAACTTGATTCTTAGCAGGGCAAGGAATACTGCAGGTACAACGACCTGGGACCAGTAGATCTCATCTCGGTCTACTGACAAGTGTCTAGGTGTCTAGCATTGACAGGCCAGTGCAAAATTTCCTTTTTCCTTTTTAATACATGTACATGGAAAATCCTGGAATTTGAGAGCATGCAGTGGGCCATTTTTAGCAATTTTTAGTCAATATCAAAATTAAGAAGGGACATTCAATGTAAAATAAGAAAATTTGAACATGGAAGGGTCAATTTCATTTTTTAGGGGTCAATGGCCCCCTCCAGGATTATCCCTGTATATGCACACAGCATACTGATTTACCAATAATCAATAAACAAGGAACAGGTAACAGATAAAAAGACCATGATATTATAAAGCATGTTTCATTCAAACTTCTGACCTCAGAATTTAAGGACTTTTCAAGGGTTTTTCAAGACAAATTTTGAAAATTCAAGGACTCATTTATAAAATATCGCAAAATAAACAAACAATTTTAATGAACAACAAGGCCTTGATGGGCTGGGGTTGAAGGAAAGTCATCGGCATCCGTGTTTGGATTTTGATTATGAACAGTTGAGGTAGGTCTCGATTCAAACTTTGTCTCAGGTGACCTAATAAATAAATATACAAATATACAACATTTGATATAGCGCCCTATCTAGCTAACATAAGCCACTCTAAAGCGCTTTACAGTACATAGATATACAATTTTATGCAGTCAATACAATAAGCATACATATATTAATCAACACAATATTGAGGAATTCACAGGAGCTACCTTATCGGGCGATAACTATGCTAGTCAGGCATGTATTGTATGTAAATGCTAGTTATTGGACCAGCGTTTCTCCTCTGGGCAGGCGCTTGTTCACATCTGCATGTCCAAAGGCCCAGTCCAGTTGAAGTAATCTTTAACCCTTTCACCACTGTAGACCATAATGAACTCATCCCCATAAATACATGGTAGAGTCTACTCAAGTTACCTAAGAGTGACAGGGTTAAATTTGTTCTTGTCCTAATTAGTGTAGAAGATCGACTTGTCAAGCTAACCATGAATGATCAGACCGAATCAGATCCCCACAATCTTTTGTTTTTTTTGTGGGATTTATCATGTCACGCAGTATACAAAATGTAGACAGGCGTATTTATCATCAATCTTCAATAACCGGTCATGTGCACTACACATTTTTTTGTGCATTCACGTCATGTCAGAGTAGGCATTATATAAATTAATTAAAGGCAACTTTACTGAAGAGTTCAAACCTTGGTGTCAAAATTATATTGCATTATATATACAAGATCAATTTTGAATTTTCAATGATAGTTTTCTCATAATAATCTATATAAAGCTTAACACTTAAAAATATCATGGGACATCAAGATATTGACAATCTAGAATGTGTTGATGAACAGCATATTTTATATACAGTGATCACTGTAAAGCAATTGAAGCAAAATAATTGCATTTGTCGACTGAAAACATATCACAGTATGTCTAATATCCATTTCATGAATCAATTTAATTAAATTACCTGCTAGGAAACCCAACATTTAACATGGTGGGATATCAGTGTGATGAATATTTAATTAAAATTTAATTTCCTGAATACCTATTCTCGATACATACACTTATTTTTGTTACCAGATGCTGTGATCACGCTAGGAAAAAAATATCTTTTTTAAGGTGGCTCGACACATCGTCATCAGCGTCCATTTTCGTGACGTACTTCCGGAAAAAGTACAGCTCGGACTCAATTATCTTGATCGAAATGTGCATGTACACCGTGTCGTCATTTCCGTTTTGCGTATCGGGTATTCAATATCGTAGTGCAAATTATAGTAACACCTGGGCCGTTTGCGTTTAAACGGTCAAACCGATCGGACCACTGTTGTTCGTTTATTAAATAAGGTAAGACCTAGTTATCTGATGCTGCTTTCAGGCGAGCCTTGAGAAAGCCTTGCAAGTCTTGCATACACATTTGTAGGTCCGCCAGGATTTATACCCGGAATTGTTACATTTATAAACGGTCAAACCGGTTGTTCCGCATAAACGAACAGGCCCCTGGTAAACAATAGTACACGTGCGTGCCGATGATATGTCAACACCCGATATCGAGATTTTACCGGGAAATGTATAATCACACGTACTTCAGGAATAAAGCTTTCCAATTCATTGACATAAACAGACTCACGGGAAGACAGTGACATGAGACCAGACGACCTCAAGAAGGTCATATAGGAAACACATGGAATGCGGACGTACCAACCTCATATGTGCATATCACGTGCTTACACGAGTTCATAAGCTGAGGGAGTTTCGCTCTGTCGATTAAATCGTGTTTACAAATGTAGTCTACTTACTCTGTGAAAATAATGTTTTGTAAAATATCAAGATACCTATGAAATGCATGTGTGAGGGCACGTGAGAACGGCATACCATGCGATAGCCTCTGGTCACATATGTACCTGACATGTAATTATAAATATACCGTGAGTTAGCGGACTGTGGAATGATGTCCAAAGTGTACATGACTGAGGGTAATTTGGTTCCATTAAAGAACAATAAATTGATAATTTTGATATCATATTTTTGATTTATTTCCATCATTTGTTATATGTAAACAGAGACAACTGTCATTGTGTAAATGTCATCCCTCTGCAAAAAGTTCCGATTTTTTTCAAGGAAGATAACTCTCACCCGGATCAAAGTGATTGTAAAATGTAAAATAAATTAATTATAAAGCCATTGTGTATATTTTGTTCAATTTCCCACTCTATATGTATAGATCTGTGTGTCCTGTTTGCTTTTAGCTTGTAGATAATCACTTTTATCCGTTCAAATTCAATAAAAAACACTTTGTGTAACATGTGTTACATATTTTGTGATAAATAAAATATTTGTAGGATTAATTATAAATGCTTCTTTTCATTTTTTTATTGTTTTTATTGTTCCGAACAATGCCACACACAAAAAAAAACGGAAAATATTAAAAGTGGCGAAAATTCAATTTTTTGGTATTTTTTCCAAAAAATTCCCCAAACTATCGGAATGTTTAGATTTTCATAAAATTAACTCTACATAGTTGCATAACCATTATATGAAAGTTTCAACGAATTTTGCTGGTTAATTGCGAAAGTGTGGAGCCACCTTAAGTTGCCAAAAAACACTTTTCTTTTTTTAGAAAATTATTGAAGGATTATACATGTTTAGCAACTTTTTACTGAGCAATACACAGTGATTTGGACATCCAATTTGAATAGTGAAGTAATGTAGTAATTTATTTTATACAAATTTTTTTTGCATTCATTTACATCGACAGTCAAATATGTTTCAGTTTAACCAATTATATTCTACTTATGTATCCTTTATTTTCTAT